TGTAGAAAGTGAAAGTAGTTAGAAAAGGATGGAATTAATTGATGGTTTCTAGGATAGAAGTGAGTATTCTGCTATGGAGCGTGTAAACATAACTAACAACTACTACGTAGTACAAACTACATACTAAAAATATTCTTAACTTCTCTTCCAAGTACTAAAGTATAAATAAGTGAAACTAATGACATAGAATTGGGAATCTGGCATGGTTATTAACAATTTTATTCTCATAGCTACTTTAGGAAAGGAAACGAAAAGGCAAAAATAACCAAACACTTTTGTTCTTTTTTTTTGAAAGAAGTATAGATTAAATTTAAATGACAATATAACTTGCATAACTTTAGCATTCAATTAAAAGAGAAAACAGACATGAATTGCGATAGACCAAAAATATACCATATCAAGATGGGAGGTGAAATCTCCTGCCGCCTTTCCTAGGAGACGTTGTGATTCTGAATCCCAGAAAATGAATTCAACGTTGGCACAATTATGGCTAACGCGCAACCTCAAGCTATAGCGCCAAACACCTTTCGAAGTTTGCTTACGACAGTTTACGCAACTCAGGTGACCATTGTCTTTGATGACCTTTTTAAAACATCTAGGTTCATCACACCCAAGATAAGCCCATGTCTTCCAAGAAATAATCGTACTTATTTGGCCATAAACCCAACAGCCACGAACCTTGTATAATAACAAAATATTGTTACACGTAGGGTATATAAAATCATTGATTATTCTTGTCAGAGTTACACGCATTTTATATCTCTACATATATTGAAACTTATATGCAAAACATAATATAACAAATTACATAGTAACCCGTAAATGATGTTTCCTGAGAAAAAAATTGGAATATATAATAATAGGAACTATAAGTTAATGGAATGAGAATATAGAATACTTAATAATGTTATTTTCAGTGTAGTTGTTTACTGGAAAATATACTGGACACAGCAGATAGCATAATGTCATTAGGAAACCACTTTTCAGAAGTAAAACTTCAGTTATTTGGTTAGGCATTCATTCTGAAATAAGTGTATACCATTTGAACTCAATTGTGATGACATTCATGTTTATAAACCAACTCATCGATTTTGGAAATTAGCAAAAAGTTTCATGAAATTTCAAAGCAAAAGCACCGGGAAAATTGATGGTTAAATGAATATGTAAAGGTATAAATGAATTAGAATTATTATAGAAAATTTATAAAGTTTCAGAGATAGATGTCGAATATGTAATAATGTCACGTAATCAGAAATTGGTATACGTAATACAGAGTAATAGGAAAACATCATATTGTTACCTCTTTAGAAGATGATAATTCAGAGAGAGGTATGGTTTTACCAATTTCATTCACACCATGAATCGAGTTAGCAGAGGATGATGAAGATTGTGTCAAAGGCGACGAAAAAGAGGCTGTCATGCTTAGAAATCTGCATTAATTGTAAGTTTAACAACTCTTAAACATAATATAGATTTGAGGGCATATTGAAATGGAGTAGTAACATAGAAAGATATAGTCTGAATCTGAAGGACATTGTTATTATCATTATCATTTAATAAAGAACATAAAATAAGAAGGGATATAACAATATTAAATGAAATCGATTATTAAAAAAGTGGAAGTATGAATTGAAAAGTGGGCACATATTCTACAAAATCTGCATTAATTTTAAGTTTGTTAAATCAGGAAAAAATGTAGGTTTGACTGCATACTGAATTGGAGAAGTAACATACAAAAATTATACACTAAATGTGCAGGACATTTTTATTATGACCATTTGATTAAGAACATATAATAAGATGTGTTGTAACAATATTCCATGAATAGAAAATAAAAGTATGCACATACTACTATACTAAGAATCAAGTAACGATTTACCTGCTTCGAAATAATTCAATGTCAGGTATATGTTCATCCAACAATAACTTTGAAACATAAAAAGAGGTTGCTACCCCTTTAGTGTCATCTGAAGGAAGGAAAAAGTAACAAAGTGTAATCATGATACACATGAAGCAAGTGTAATAAAAAAACACATATGTGTAAAGGAGAAGAAACACACCCCATCGTTTATTTATACGACAAAGCTGCATTAAGACAATAACCGGATTTGGTCTTGGTGTAGATACATATGTAACAAACTGATCAACATATTCGTTCCAAAGAGTGCAATTCAGGATGTTATTCCTAAACACAAAAATAGAGCACATTTATTATTGGTTTCATAAAAGTAGGTATATATGAACTTAAGTAAGAATTCATTGTAGTATTTTCGTAACTCCAAATCCCGAAGTTGAAAGCTACAATATTTCGAAGGGCCTTCAGATGGTAAGGGCTTTTTCTTAGGATCAGTGGGATCGTATGCACCAATTACATCTGTACACAATATAATTTGAGGATGATGTTAAACTATTCAACTTGAATGAATCAAGGAAATGAGTCATACAAAACATCAATACTCACCGATCAGATCAGGACCATCAACATTAGGAGAATTTAAAACATCGTTGAAGCTTGTGAATTTATAGGTATTTAGAGGAAACAACAGATGTTTATCATCTGGTTGTGCCTTCACCTTTGTAATCTCATTGAAATAAAAGCGATATGGATGTTGTGTTGGTCTCCACTTGCCCACATTCTCTTTGACAGTGAAGTGCATAAAGGCATAAAGTCCCCCCTCTTCAATTTGGTCATTAAACAGTGGAATGTGCTCTTGTGGTACGGTAGCTTGAATTCTTGTACCCTGGAATAAATGGGTTAGTAATAAGTGAATAGGAATCATACTGTACCCAGTGAAAATCCATATACACTGTCTATGTCTAAGGCCCTATAAATGTCCATGCTCTGATTCTAGGTAAAATAGTATAGAAAATTATACTAAAAAACAATGTGTGTTTTGTCAATCTCAACCTATGTCTATTTTAGATTATTCCCAGAACAATAATTTAAAACATTAAGTGTAGACATAAAAGTGAACTAAAACTATTGTGAAAACAAACATAGTGACACATTAAGTACTTTGATAATCGTTAATTTAAAGAAAATTGAGAAACCTGTCAAATTTGTTGAAATTAAAGGTACCTTAGTTTTTTTTCAGAACCATAATTTAAAGAAATCCTGACGATTTAAACCAAAACCTTTAAACCACTTAAAGTTTTGAACTCAAATATACTCTATTAATTCCAGGTATGAGCAATGGTATAGTTTGTCATTCCTTTGAACTAATCATTCTGAAACCAAATCAAAAGTCAATAGTATTCTTAAACTGTGAAGTGAATTATGTTGAATTCAGTCAACAATACTGTTAAGAAACATTTCAGAAGTTTAATTTAAGTGGGTATGAAATGAAATGAGACAGAAATAAACATCACCTCCTCATCTATCAAGACAAGCTCAACCGATTTAATGCCCAACTCACGGTTCTGGAAAGGTATGGACCACTTCCTTGCAACCCGACAAAAAAATGCCGCTCTCTTCTGCAGGTCAACTTTCACGCTCGTCAAATTGAGCTTCAGAGGGGCCATCGTTTATTTTGTTATGAATAGGAGAAGTATGAAAGATAAATGGTGTGTGAAAAAGAACCATGGTGAGTGTGTTTAAATATGAAAACAATGGATTTCATAGATGGTAAGGCAAAAAATCAATAATAATCAATATCAATAATAATCAATAATGAATGATTGAATTAAAAAAGGGAATGATTCGTTGGTTTTTAAGGGGAAGATTGCAGGGTTGTGATAGTGAAGATCATAAATCATACCTTTAGAAGAAGGATTTGCAGTGGCACAATTTAGTACTACGCTGGCTGGGAAATACAAAATGGAAGGATTTGGAGATTGTAAAGCACAATTGAAGCTGCCAAAGCGGGTTGTCTGGCCTGAAATTGCGCTTGTAGACGGAAACGGACGATTGAATAGGGAACAATCCGGAAACGTTCGATTGAAGAGGGTACAATCTGGAAACGTACGATTGAAGAGGGAATTGCGCTTGTAGACGGAAACGTATGAATGAAGAGGGATTGTATGCCCTAATTTACAGACGTGCGCTGAATTTGGGTGATAAGCCATTAATGAGAGAGAGAAGCGGGAAAAGAGATTGGGTGAAGGATTTTGCTTTTAGGTATATAGGATTCTTTGATTCTTTGGATGATTTTGACCTGTCCTAAGCTCAGAATAATCTTAATCTAAACAAATTGCAAATATTTTGACAAACTAAACTATTACACCAAAAGTGTGTAATTTCCAAAGTAACAATCAATCAAAACTAATTAAAAATACAAACATAAACATGTGAATTACATGTTTATCACCGTTGCCAGGGAAAGGCAATTTATTTTTCTTTTTATTTTATTTCAAGAAAAAAAAACATTTTTAAAGATTTCTAGTTTTCTGAGCTTTGTTTGAGTGTATGGTAAAAACCACATCCATTAACCAACTCACCTACCAAACAAACCCCGAAATAGAACGAACTCTCGAGCGGTTGAAAAACAAATTCTCAAGTACCGACTCGGGAGAATCATCAAGTGCTATCTCTCATTCTAGCGAGCCCGAAGAGCCCATCACTATGGCTCTTGAAACGAGAACATTGAGGGAGCCCACGGCTCCGAATCTTAACCAACAACCGCTATGTATCACCTTCCCTACTCTTGATGAAGGTGCTACATTTGAGCTCAAATCGGGGCTCATTTGTGAGCTAAAAATATTTTAGTCCTAAAAAAGTCTTAAAAAACATGGTAGTCTTAGTTTTTCATTTTTTTCATTGTTTTAGTCCCATTCAGGGAATTTACTCTATTTCTATTCTAAAGTTTATTTGTGAAAATTCTGATCCCTTTTTCTAAACCAATTAAGGTTTTTTAGTCTCGATATGTGCTTTGGGCCAAAAAATACTTGTGGACTGGACATTGTGAGTTTGTGTTCCGATTCAAGATGGTTCCATCCTTTCAAAATGTAACAATATTATATTAAAAGAAAAGGTAAAATGTAACATAATAGATGGTATGAGTTTGGGGAGGAACAGAAAATTCATAATGAACTATAAGCTTCAAAGTTGACGACATCGGAATTAATAAGGCCAGACAGGCCATAAGTGTGTGGCTTTGTCTATTTTTGACCACCGAAAGGCAGCAAAAAGCACAGGTGCGAGGCAAGCCGCTGCTCCAATGCCTAATACGCCCGCACTCTCCTTCCCCTTCAACTTCAGCGACACTATCAATGAACTTATTCCTGCAAATAGCGCCAACCTGCCCAGGCCATATGTATGATAAGTAATAAGGATGCTTGAATTCATTTGATTCAATGATCAAAGGAAAGGCTGGAAAAGGGGCACACTATAAACAAAAAATGATGACACCCATCCAGTGGCGGACCCAGAAAATCGGAGTCACGGTGTCCCTACCTTAATGTTAGTCTAACCAATAAAATTTTTTAAAAAATGTAATTATATAATATTAAAGTAGCATAACATTTCATAGTTAATGTACATCATCAAAATATTAAGAACTTTTATCAATTCAGGACCTTATAGATAGATAAATTATAAATTCGGTACCCGAAAGATGAAATGTATTAATATAGGACCCGAAAGATGAAAATTATCAATCTAGGATCTAAGATTTCATAGATTTTGATTTATTTATTTATTTATTTATTCCTTTGCTAATTTTTGAAAAACTTTTTTCCACAAAAGTTTATTAGTTTAATAAAATTAAATAATGTTTAAAAATTTTAACATAAAAATAATAAAATTCATGACAATATAGGTCCAAGATTGATAGTCTTTAATCATTCAAGTCCTAAATTGACAATTTTCATCATTTGAGTCTTATATCTATAAATATCTTCTTTCAGGTCTCGAATTGATAATTCATTTACCTTTCAAGTTTTGAATTGATAAAATTCCAAATATTAAAGTAGTACAACGTTTCATAGTCCATACTATGACGCAACTCATCTTGAACATTATGATGCAAATCAACAAATTTTTTTCTCAAACCAGGATAAGCTTCTAAAGATTCAAAATAAACATGTTGATCATATGTATTGTCAGTCAAATTAATTTCATATTCACGAATTATTTTATTCAATTCTTCACTTAATAATGGAAAATCATAATAGAAATTTTAATAATTAATTGAATTATGTAAAGTGTCAAGTTGGGGATTTTTAAAAAAGGCAAAAGGATGTAGTTGTGATCTTTTGCAATAATAAATCAAAAAAAAGGAATAGGAGTCAGAGGGAATCGATCCTTGCACGTCCACGAAAAGTAAAGGTTTTTAAAGGCTTTCCTCCGTTGCTCTGCTCCATTCTTTGGAATTCATACTTGTTTTTGTGTTATATATACATTTATAAGTAAATTTTAAATAAAATATATAAAATATATAGGTATTTTTTTGGAAGTACGCGGGGTCCCGGGACCCCGTGGGACCCTTAGTGGGTCCGCCCCTGCACCCATCCCTGAGGGCCCCAACCCCGACCGGAGGTACATTGGGAGGTTGTAAATTGAACTATAATCACAATCTGACGGATAGAGAGTGAGATCCGAATCCGGGACCTAACCCTTGTGGCACTCCCTCACTACCGGTTGAGCTACCGAAAAATGGAAGAGAAGGGGCGCACTAAAGATACCATTTGACGATGAAAAACCAGTGAAGATAATTTTTTTGCTCTTTGTCCACCTCTTTGTGTTTTAGAATCGGATACCAAGATAAAACTCCAAATAGAAGAGCAGAAATCAAAAGGAAGCCCAACTGAAACAGCACAAAATGTACAGCCCAACCACCTAACCGTTCTTCGTGACCTGCAGACTCGTCGTCCTGCAAAAACAATACCAAATGATATGATAATCAAACATAGTTACGTACGGCCGGAGCATTCATTAGCAAGTGCGGGAATGGGCCTGTAATTCATTAACGTATGTGAATTTACCAAACTCCACGAAGCAACCACAGCGGCAGCTCCTAAAACTGCTGCTATAAGCTCACAGAGCATAGAAACCACAATCTTCCAAGTCTCCATTTTAGTCTGAGGTTAATTTCGTAAAAAAATATACTCTCCTATGTGTGTGTCTCTTACTCTTTGATCTCTATGTATATATATACTAAACACTTTGCCCCGTATTTATTAATTTATGAGACTGCTAGCTAGCTAGCTGGAAGAAATGGTCTACTAAGAGTTTTATGTAAATAATTATTACTGGTATATAATTATTGTATCATTTTTGCATAAGGTCTCTGCAAGTAATGATATCAGAGTTTCACTCGTTATGCGTCGGTCTGTGATTAAAATCTAATTTCCAATGGCATGGTTACACACACTGTCACAAATTAAATATTTTTTGTAATTATACATATAGAGGTATATTTTCTGGAAATTAATTTGACACCACCAATATATAAATTATATATATAGGTGCTATAGTGTGCACGGTGCACATGTGGCATCAAAGATAACTACATAAATATTAGCAAATAAATTATCTCTCTTCTTATTTGAATGATTTTATACATTTCCCCTGCAATGTCAACTGCAATGTCAACATCTAGACGGTTTCCTTGATATTGTGGAGAAAAACTTACTGCATAAAACCATTCAAATAAGGATATAAAGAATTGATTTACTAATATTTATGTGGATCTCTCATGCCACATGTGCACCGTGCACATTGTAACATTGTAGATGCTCTTACATAGTCACATTTATCTTCATATACTCTTTCCGTCCCATTGTACTTTACCAACTTTCTCTTCTTAGTTGTCCCAAAAAATTGTCACTTTCCTATTAAAGCAACTAATTTGTAGTTCTGTACATTTCTCTCTCTTCTCCTGAAATCTCAATCACACTGTTTTTACTTTTTTTATTTCTCAACTACTTGGCATTCGGCAAAATCCACCGGAGCGGAGGTAGTAATTGTTTACGTAGAAAAGAGTATTTTACAATCTTTTATAGTCTTATTATTATTATTATTATTATTATTATTATTATTATTAGAAATGTTAGTTTAGACAGAAAAAGTTTTTCAGTTTCAATCGTACCCTGCATATATAACCAAATATTAGAATATTGATTACTCCGTATTAATTACTCCGGAGTAAAAGATATTGTAACATTTTTTATTGAAAATGATACGTGATATTTCTTTAATATGCAGATATCCTAAAAATAAATTGGAATATATTTTATCTTGATATTTTTGCTCGTTCTTTCTACTCCTTGCTTTTTCCTTTTCGTGTTCTATTTTTTTTTCCTACCAAAATAAAAGCATTATATAAAGACACGCATTATGATTAATATGCATTTACAATAATAAAAGCAAAGATGCCACAAGAAACCGGCCAAAAATATAAACGAAAAGTAGTTAAGAGCATAATTGTTTGTATAATTAATCCCCCTCTTCAAATCATATAAAACTGATAGTATTGCAACTTTTCATTAAATGCTTGCATAGTTCTGAGTTTTTGACCAACTCTTTTAATTTATTGAACCACTCTTTTAATTTGGTGATGGAAAAGAATGATAATAGAACTGGAATAATGTTGGCCAGCCAAGATTACATTTGCGATGTGATAAAAAGTAAGGTAAATTCATTGACCATTTGTTGTATTAGCTTGATTTGGGAAGGAAAAGATACGATGGTTGAAAATATTGCGAGACAAAATAATCTTTGTGTTGTCTTGCATTTTTCAGTTGTCTGTGCGTTTTACCTGAGGCGTCTGTGTACACAGCATTATACATACCACCATACACATCATAAAAAGCCCACCCCCTCTTTCTAACCCACCCCACTTTTGAATTAATTCTCCCCACTCCACTCCCACTCCCCTCTTTCCTCTCCCTCCCTGCGCCCCACTCCCTCTTCTTCTCTTCCTCTTTTCTTTTTTCGTTTCTCTCCTTCCCTTCACCCAACTTCCTTCTCCCTTTTTTCCTCTTTTCTTTTTTCTTTTCTCCCCCTCCCTGCACCCAACGTTCTTCAGCCTCTTTTCCTCTCTCCGTCTCCCTCGTAAATAACTCCTCTCCCTTTCTCCATCTTTTTTCTTTTCTTGTTTTCTTCATTTCAAAAGCTCTCACTTTTTTTGCAGATCTGAATCCGTACTGAAAAACAAGAGGAGTCACAATTGAATCTACTTTGCTCTCTCAAATATTATTCATGAGGTAATACTTTATTTCATAATTTTTTTTTGCATTTAGGGTTATATGTTTTCCTTTTTTAAATTTTATTTATATGGAGTAGAAAATATGTTGTGGTGATGTTGATGAATGTTTATTACAATATAATATTAGTATGGATTATTTATAATTTAAAATTTTATTCAACCATTATAGCTCACTTTTATGCCTATTAAGTGTTTGTTGAAATGTTTCAATGAGATGTAACTATGTATAATTGATTTTTAGTTTTAATTCAGCTTACGGTTTTACTGAGATGTCTGTGTAGTTTGTTGTTATACGGTTGTACATAGCAGAGTTGTCTTTATGGTTTTCCAGAGATGTTTGTGTAGTGTGTTCTCATATGTTTGTACATTTTTTAGTTGTCTATATAGTTTTTCTGAGATGTCTGTGTAGTTTGTTGTTATACGTTTGTGGATTTTATAGTTGTCTTTATGGTTTTCTTGAGATGTCTGTGTAGTGTGTTGTTATATGTCTGTGCATTTTTTAGTTGTCTGTGCGTTTTACCTGAGGCGTCTGTGTAGTTTGTTGTTATACGTTTTTGGATTTTATAGTTGTCTTTATGGTTTTCTGAGATGTCTGTGTAGTGTGTTGTTATATGTTTGTGCATTTTTTAGTTGTCTGTGCGTTTTACCTGAGACATCTGTGTAGTTTGTTGTTATGCGTTTGCGCTTTTTTGAATTGTCTACATAGACAATATTTTTGAACGTTTTTGCAAATATGTTGTAAAATGTATGCAAATGAATGGAATTGGGTCTGTTCTTGTGCACGTTCTTTAGGCTTATATAACTTTAAATATAGCTTTATTATGTTTTTAGGCGGCACATATATAAGCCTAAATGGATGCACATTCATTTCATTTTATTTTCATTTACCCTAGTGCCACAAAGGCTCCCTTCCACCTACGGTGGGGTAAGGGGCGGGGCAGATGTACGCAGTCTTACCCTTATACTAAAGCACAGAGAGACTGTTTCCTGTGCTTTTTGCTGCCTTGCGGTGGTCAAAAATAGACAAAGCCACACATTATGGCCTGTCTGGCCTTATTAATTCCGATGTCGTCAACTTTGAAGCTTATAGTTCATTATGAATTTTCTGTTCCTCCCCAAACTCATACTATCTATTATGTTACATTTTACCTTTTCTTTTAATATAATATTGTTACATTTTGAAAGGATGGCAACATCTTGAATCGGAACACAAACTCACAATGTCCAGTCCACAAGTATTTTTTGGCCCAAAGCACATATCGAGACTAAAAAACCTTAATTGGTTTAGAAAAAGGGATCAGAATTTTCACAAATAAACTTTAGAATAGAAATAGAGTAAATTCCCTGAATGGGACTAAAACAATGAAAAAAAATGCAAAACTAAGACTACCATGTTTTTTAAGACTTTTTTAGGACTAAAATATTTTTTTATATTTTTTCTAAATGGTCACAAGTGATTTTTTTTATAAAAGTAAAAGAAATAAGCTAAGAGAGATCAAAATCATTCTAAGAAGAAGCAAACAGAGCACCACAAAAATGATGAGAAGTTGAAGATCAAACTAGAAGGAGAAAAAAGAGAAGAAGAAAAAGAAGAAGAAAGAAGAAGAAGAAAGTTGGAGAGGATTACCTGTTTTCACCGGAGAAATAGGTGTGATTGGCGTCGATGAGGAGTGCGGCCGCCGTTGATGTTGTAGGGGCTGCGTTTCATAGCAGGCAGAGTCGTTCAATCGCAGCGGAATGGCTACAATTCCATGGTCAGGAGAGAAATCGCAGAGTCGTTCCCAATAATCGTAGAACGATTCATCATCTTTCTGCTCCACATTGCTGATTTGCTTTTTGAGAGATGAGGAGACAGATGCAAGATAGTACCTTTCGAGGAAAGCTTTCTTCATGGCCGCCCATGTACCTATACTTCCCGAAGGAAGATAGAATAGTCAATCTTTTGCGTTATCCTTGAGGGAGAATGGAAAGGCCCTCAACTTGATCTGCTCCTCAGTGACTCCATTTGGGCACATGCTTGTGCAAACAATATGGAATTCCGAGAGATGTTTGTTCGGGTCCTCGCCTCGTAGACCATGGAATGAAGGAAGTGAATGGATGAGCCCCGATTTGAGCTCAAATGTAGCACCTTCATCAAGAGTAGGGAAAGTGATACATAGCGGTTGTTGGTTAAGATTCGGAGCCGTGAGCTCCCTCAATGTTCTCGTTTCAAGAGCCATAGTGATGGGCTCTTCGGGCTCGCTAGAATGAGAGCTAGTACTTGATGATTCTTCCGAGTCGGTACTTGAGAATTTGTTTTTCAACCCCTCGAGAGTTCGTTCTATTTCGGGGTTTGTTTGGTAGGTGAGTTGGTTAATGGATGTGGTTTTTACCATACACTCAAACAAAGCTCAGAAAACTAGAAATCTTTAAAAATGTTTTTTTTTTTATTTTTCTTGAAATAAAATAAAAAGAAAAATAAATTGCCTTTCCTTGGCAACGGTGATAAACATGTAATTCACATGTTTATGTTTGTATTTTTAATTAGTTTTGATTGATTGTTACTTTGGAAATTACACACTTTTGGTGTAATAGTTTAGTTTGTCAAAATATTTGTAATTTGTTTAGATTAGGATTATTCTGAGCTTAGAACAGGTCAAAATCATCCAAAGAAACAAAGGACGGATCCTAAAGACCAAAGAATGTGCAAAAAGGGAGAAGATCAAATGAAGATTTTGAAATTCGTTCAGTACTCGGTCGAGTATTGCCAATACTCGGTCAAGTATTGACCGGATACGCTAGTCAAAATCAAATCTGGGAGCAAAAGAACGTGGCCGAATATTTGATGGAAATACGGTCTCATACTCGACCGAGTAGCACTCAATACTAGGTCGAGTATGTCTATATTTCGCAATTTCCTAGAAACTACCTTTTG